ATTATGTGTGCTTAAAAAAATATACACATAGGCTCTCCCTGGAAGGACACACGGAAGTTGGGACAACAGTGGGTCCTCCGTGGGACAGGGGTAGAAGGGCAATTTGTTTTTCCATTTGTAACTTTTGAATTGTGGACTTGTGCTTCTGGTACCTATTTAGAAATAAATGCGTAGATAAATAAGTAAAATTTAAAGTTTCTAGACAAATGTATATCAGAATTGTAAACGAAAGGCTATTCTTCCTACCTTACAACAATTCAGTCTGGGAGATTCTGAGTTTACTCTGCAGTCAGAGAGGCTGAGGGCCTTGGGGAGGTCCTGGTCTCCTTCACAACCCCTGCACCTTCTGCATCCCATTCCGCTTCCTTGTTTTCTGGTTCATGCGATTGGTGTCTCTGGACGATGGCTGCTGCCCCGCAGTCCCCAGAGGCACCCTCTGCCCCTGTAGCTCACCTCTGCTTCCCAAGTGTTGCCTCTAAGCAGGCAGCACACCAAAAACAAGGTCTGTGCAGCCCCAGGTCTTGGCGAGTCCACGTGCAGCCCGGGTTTCAGTACAGGGTTCAGCAGCACTGGGCTTGCACAGGCCGGGCTGGAGCCACGACAGTCCGCTGCGGGGACTTTGGCCGGTGGAAGCCCTGTGGTGAAGCACGGCCTCTCTCCAAGCCCCTTCTGAACCCTCGTTGGTCCGGACTGTGGTTTTAGGAAATGGTGATCGGAGATTTTTAAAAAATGATAACGGATGTAAAACTCCCCACCCCGTTACTATCATAAGGGAGTTGAGGGACATTTTTTTATCCCTTAGCTTAGACTGACTTGAAGGTAGATTCACACATAGGTGTTTGCTACTATAATTAGAAAGGAACACCGCTTCCTGAACTGCACTACAGTGAGGCACTTGTTTTCATTTACCTGAGATGCAGCTTCATCATCATTGGGCCCAGTAGCTACTTACTCTGCCCTGCATGAGATGAAGCCTGAATACAACACACTCTCAGCAGGAGAGACAGGGCCAATGATGGATGTGACCGGAGAACCGTAACCTCACAGAGACCCTCTCGGGGAGGAACAGTGGTTGACCCCATATAAGAATTCTCATTCTGAATATTTGTGAAGTCCAGATCAAGTTGGCATCAGATTGACGAGGTCTGGTCATTGACAGAATTGGACTGCTGATGGGGATTGTCCGACCTGCTCTTTATTTATAGGCTGTGTAACAGAGTGTGGCAGTGTCTCAGTGAAACAAGCACTTTCTACCTGGTAATAAAACTGCTGTCCCCTAATAGGTGAAGTCAGGCCCAGCTGGTGTAAGCCTGACTCTGTCTCACTTCATTGAAATTCCTACTGAAAAGCTTTTAGGGCCCGTAACTAATGCTTCAATTGGGTTGGAGATGGAGAGCAAATAACCTGCCGTGGCCCAAGTGAAGCTTGGTCCGGTGTTCCCAGCATCTGCTGCTGCTGCGATAGCTGCTTATAACCGTCCCTCACTCATCCCTCTCACTTGCCCAGCTCTGCCAGTAAGTCAGTCAGGAAAAGCTAAGAACCATATGATTTCACTCATAAGTGGGATACAAAACTGAAACTCACGGACACAGGCGGATAACGGCATGGTGGTTGCCACAGGGAAGGGGGTGGGGAGGTAGTAGAAGGTAAAGGGGGCCAATTATATGGTGAGGGAGGATGACTTGAATTTGGGTGGCGGGCACACAGTGCAGTGTACAGATCATGGGTCCTAGAAATGTGCACCTGAAACCTAAGCCCCTATGAACCAATGTCACCCCAATAAATTTAAACTTTTTAAAAAATGTATCCTAGAGAAAGAAAAGAGAACTGCTTTTTTTTGTTGTTTCGTGTTGGTTTTCTTTTGTTTTGTTGGCTCTTTAGTCAGTATCCCTGAAAGGGCCTTGCTTCTCTATGGTCAGCTTCCCTGACAGTAATTTTAAAGTTGCTAAGAGGCCTTGAGCAAGCATTCCATTTCCCCTCCCGCATTCTGGTGGCACAAACCCTCCTGAGCCTCTGCTGTTTGGCTGCTACATAGTTTCAGTCTGCTGCTGACAACACCTCTGAGATGTAGTGTGCTTGCAGAACAATCTCTCTTGTGGTAGAAATGAACTTGCTTGAGTTTCCACAGCATTTTCAAGCTAAAGTCAACAAAATTCTAAAATTGAGTTGGTCCATGGCACGGATTTCACTTACTCTTTGAGATGCTACCGAATTCATCCGCCATCAGTCAACACCTGTGAATGACCGCTATGCGCGAAATGCTGAGCTGAGTGCAGTGGGGGAGAAAAAAACAAAAACAAAAACAGGAGCTCCCTGCTTTTAGGAGATTTAGTCTAGTAGTTGGACAAGTAAGCTATTTGTGAGGGAAAACATTAACACAACAGGCGTGCATTAGCTGGGGCCTGGTGAGTTATAAAGGCAGCAACAGCAGAGCAGAGACTACTGGGTTGAAAGACTTTGGAGCTTGTGCCCCCCTTCCTCCCCTCCCCCAGGGTCTTGAAGGACAGAACTACTGGAGGCCAAGTGCAGTTTAAGGAAAAGAAGGATGGAGACTAGGTAGAAAGAAGCCGTTTTAGCTTGAGCAGACCTTTATGTTCTGTCATTACAAAGCACTGCTTGTGGGTGGGTGAATAGAGGCGTGCACTGTATCTTCCAGTGCTAAGTGGGGGGGGGGGGGGGGGGCTGAATCAGGACCACCATGCACTGAGGCACCTCGCGCCCTGCACTGCACAGAAGTGCCTGACCGGCAAGGGGCAAGGAGAGGCTGAAATCCAGCCAAGCTTTGCTGATATTTCTGCCTAAAGCAGGAGGCGCCTTATCTCTGCCAGGCTGTGTATCAGGAGGGCTACATCCAAACAGGGGGACACCTCTTTAGGAGTCCTTCCTAGTGTGGTGGCTCTTTGGAAGCTCACAAAGGTGCTGTACCACAGTGACGGCTCTGTCTGTCTCCGTCTGCATCTGACCCTGCCTAAACTGCAGCGAATAGTTGAATGAACACTGAGATGGAATGGTTGAAGTTCTGCACACACTCAGTCTCCCTGCTTCAAGAGGGACTCTCATGTGGTTTCCTGCCTGATGCTTTTGAAGAACAGGAGGGTCTTGGGGCGTTGGGGGAGAAGGCAGAGGTGTGCTTGAAGGCCCCTTAACAGTTCTAAAATTCTTTGGGTCCATACATTAGACTTGATGCTAAATTTAAATAAAATCCTCCCTTTCAAACCAAAGCAGTTTTTGCCTATTAACAGTTCAAGGCTTTCCACCCACCTTTTGTAGCATGATGCAACTCAGTTATGGAGTGAGCCCTTTTATTGTACGCCAGTGGTCTAACTATGAAAGGAACTGAAGAAGTAGAGGGTTGGACCTTTGTTCTCAAATACTTACCTATTTAGGAAAAGAGAAGTGTTAACTACAAAATGAGGGCATCAGCCATTCATAGAGGTTATTAATGGATACCATGTCAGAGGTACCTGGTCTTGGTTTTGACACCACAGTGGAATTTTCATGTGCTGTAAAAAGTGGTAACTCAGCAACCACAAAGCTTAAACTAACCAGTGACATTTCCTGCCTGTGTATTCATTTGCAGGTAAAGATACCAAAGGTGTGATAAGTTAGGATTAAAATGAACTAAAGTGGCTCTGGCTGGTGTGGCTCAGTGGACTGAGTGCCGGCCTGCAAACCAAAGGGTCGCTGGTTCAATTCCCAGTCAGGGCACATGCCTGGGTTGCAGGCCAGGACCCCAGTAGGGGGGCGCTCAAGAGGCAACCACACATTGGTGTTTCTTTTCCTCTTTCTCCCTCTCTTCCCACTCTAAAAATAAATACATAAAGTCTTTTTAAAAAATAAATAAAATGAACCAAACTGTCATAGCAATGCCATCGAATATGTCTTCCCTGATGCTCAGTCACCATGGGGTTCTTGCATTCTCAGGAGTGTTATTTGTGAGTCCTTTGCTGTGCAGGCTGAGACAAAGGAGCGTCTGATCCACGTATAACCCCTGCCATCTCCGCCACCTCCCTTCCTCCTTCCCGCATTGGAATGGTTTTCTCTGTCCCTGAGGCTGAGGGGACACTCCTGTGCCCGCCACACTGGCCAGCCTCCATCCATAGTGGTTCAGTGTGCAGACCCTCTTGACTGACTTTCCTCTCTATTCCCTCTTTACCAAGGTCAAATCTAGTTTTCTAAAAGCCTGGTGATCATGATTGTAAATCACCACTGTCCTAGACCCTGTGGTTGGTATATAAAGCAGCAAGATCCCCACCCCATCCTGGAGCTCTTGCTCTGAAGAGCTAACGAAGGGACTCGATGAACACATGGATGGTTGGGGAGTGGGGAGAATGGATGCATGGGGAGGGGGAAAGACAGACAGAGCACACACTCATGTACACAAAGGCCTAGCAGATGGACAGACCTGAGTTTGAATCCCGACTCAGTCCGGTGCTAGTTCTGCATTTAATATCTGAGAGCCTCAGATTCTGCACCAATAAAATGGGGGGTAATAATCCTAGCTAGTCTGGGTGGTTGTGCAGGTCAATGAGACTGTACGTTGCATAAAGAGTTGCCAGTTTAAAAGAACAACCCTAAGTGGGACCTATAGAACTGCAACAAAAGGTGGTAAGTGGCACAGGACAAGTGCAAACAAAGGGCAGTGGGGGTTCCCCCACTGGAAGGCCCACACCTGGCTGAAGGCACGTGATTGAGTGTGTGTGCAGGGCCCTCCCAGCCTCCAGGTGCTCTGCACTCGAGCAGCCCGGCAGAGCAGAGCCAGGCCCACGGGAGCAGACCTGGGAGGCAGCAGGTCCCCACAAAGTCAGATGTTTGCCTGCTGAAGCCAGCGCAGAGGGTTTGGAATGGAGATTCGGAACGGGTACAGCTGCCCGAGCTGACCTCAGCCTCTTGGTGGGGACTGAAGATCATTTTATTCTCCAGAAAGCGAGGTGACTTCGCTGTTTTGTCTACTCACCCCCCAGGATGTCTAAGGTGAAGCGTTTTTCTCTCTTCTCCAGCTCAGAGGCTGAGAATGGTATGGAGGAGAAAAAGAAGGCCTGCAGGTCACCAGCATCCCAGCCTCCCACCCCATCCAGTGAGGCCGAGTCCCCAGACCAGAAGAGACTCATCTGCCTGCGGTGAGTCCTCACGTTGACTCTGTTCCTTTTGCTCTTCTTGGGAGGAGGGGTTGCCAGAGGAGGTGGTGTTTCTAGTGCTATATGGAGGTTGTTAAAAGAGTGAGTGAGGATTGTCATCTATAGGCAAATAACACTCCTGGGAAAGAAGTGGGGTGCTTTACCTTGAAATCCCTGCATTGGCGCTTGCCTTCCTTGCTCATCACTTCCTAGAAGCACCTTTTGCCCTTCCTGCCCCAGCCTTCTGCAGAAATGTCTGCCCTTTTCTTAAAGCACGGACTTTGCTAACTGATAAAGCCAGGGTGGCCCTCTTTCCAGATTAGATTTATAAAGCACCTGGGAAGGCGGGTCAGGCTGTTGGTGAGGCCCACCCAGGGTGGAATGTCTGCTTAGCCTCTGGGTGCGCACACCTGCTGTCTCACTTTCCTGGCAGCCGCGAAAAAGAGCAGAGGGGAACCCCACCTGGGATCCCCAGGCAGGGTGTTCGTAGGGGTGGGTATTTCCTGGGGTGGGTGCTGGGACCACGGTTTGGTTGTGGGGCTGTGGGGGGTCGGGCAGTTTTGAGCTGTGGAGCTGTGGTCCCCGTCACCCTCAGAAGCACCAATTCTGTGCTTTCCTTCACTTGGAAGGAAGAAGTAGGAACTTAAGAGTGGTTTTTTAGCCCTCAAAAGAGAATGGTTAGACCAGTGGTCAAGTGTGAGTAATGCAGTCAGTCATTGATGTGTAGAAGTTGAGGAGTGATTGCTCTCCTCCCTGTTGTTAGAACCGGCAGACTGCTACCTTCTGCGTCTTTTGGCCTCTGCTAAAGGATGATTAAATATCTCCTGCTTTCCCTCCCCTCCCGGCTACCCAGCCCACACCCTCTCTCCACATCTATGCTTCATGCAGGACCACGCGTAAGTCTTCCCTCTCTGCCCCCAGATTTTTCTGTCACTCTCAGTTATCGCTCCATCCTGGCTGCACGCCTTGATCTGATCTCTCCCTTTAACCATGTTTTCTGTAGCTGTTTCCTGTCACGGCAGCCTGTGTCACTCAGCAGATGAGTCCTTCCGCGACGGCACAAAGCATGTTGCTTCTTGTGTCTTTCACTGCTATTGACTGGCTACAGCATGCACTTGTAAAATAATGTTGGTTTTACTCCAACTTCCCCAGGCTTGAGATGAGATTAATACACTCATTATCAGGTTATGCTTGTTGAACTTCACAGGGCCTGGGCCTTACGTAGTTGCAAAGATCCCAGCACTGGGTTTAAGGCTCTGCTCTCACTGCCTGGAAATGCTTAATGTGTGGTTCTGCCCATGGTCACTTGTGGGAAGTGAGAATAACACGGTTGAGAGGCCCCAAAGAACTCAGGACGATGTAAATAGGCACCCTTCCCCCCACCGCCAGAGACCAGGGCTCTGCAGACAAGCCCCATCTGCGGTTCCTCTTGAAGTCGTCAAGGCTACAGCTGCCCTACTTGTCACATTTGCTTCCTGTCCATAGTTCTTCAAAAGGTCTGATCATTGCCTTGACAATTCCATTAATGTTAATTTGAAGGTCAGTAGAGTTGATAAATCCAAATTAGTGGGTAGTATAAATAATAGGTAATTTGACATTGGAAAAAATCATTTTCAAGTACAGTACAAATGTTTACTCCTTTTTTTTTTAAGTACTCCCCAGAATTCTAAAGAAATTTCAGTCTGTAAATAGGCTCAGTGCCCAGCACCTGAATCCAGATCAGTGTACCTTGAATTGCTGAGAGGTCGTTCACCTGCGGTTTGAGCAGCACAGATTCAAACTGAGTCGAAAGGGGCCCAGGACAACACACAGTCTGTTTTTTCACAGCTGAGAAAACCAGAACCTGACGTCTCCCTAACTTTAGTCATTTCTGTCCCCGTCACACTCATATACCACTCAGATTGCTTAAGATTCTTCCTAAATTAGCTTTGAACCAAAATTTTTTAAGTGCACCTTATTCTGAGGAATCATTTTTAACTGTATCTCATTCTAAGAAATCCATGTGAAATCATGGATTTCATATGCCATTTTCCCCCAGTAAACAAAAAAAAAAATCTACGTAATCATAGCGTAAAACTTGTTCATATATACATCTCTAAAAATCATACATGCATTCCACTTTGAAATGCCTGGGTTGAAGGAATGCGCAGATTCACAAGTCTGCTAAAATGGAGAGCCTTTACAAGAATCACCTTAGAAAGCCATCCTGGACTTGCCTTTTATCCCAATTTCACTTCAGCTGTTTTCCCACTCTGGGATGCTTTGTCTCTTTTCCTTATACCCAAATCTTGCTCATCGCATTAGGCCCCATGTATGAAACCCACATTGTTCTACTGGTCTCCCCTTTTCTCCTGTTAGACTAATTGTCTCATACCTCCTCCTACTGCCTATCATATGCTTTGTTTTGGTGCCACATCATGTACAGCCTTTCTAAAAAGTTTTTTGTTTTTAATTTATTTTCGTTTTTTTTTATGGAGGTATAATTGACATATAACATTACCTTAGTTTCAGGTGTGCTATGATTCAACATTTGTATCCCTTGCAAAATGCTCATCACAGTAAGCCTAGTTAACATCTGTCTCATACATAGTTACAAATTTTTTGTGTGTGATGAGGACTTAGAAAGATGTTTGATGTGTGCACAGGCTCTTGTGTGTCCCAAGGCATTTAACACAATACCCCATTTAATTAACACTTGTTAAATATTAATAGATCTCTGAAATAAAAATATTTTTTATTGAACTATAGCTGCAATTTTGTTTAATAGTTTGCCTCCTCTACTCTTTATAGTGATTAAAATACTTTTGAGATTATATCATTACTTTCACAACTACATTGTTATTTTTCTCTTCTACAAATTACCACTTCTTCAGTTTGGGATTCCACCCAGCTGAAATCACCCCAGTCCTACAACATTTGCTATGGACATCCCCTCAGAGGACGAGTGATTATTGCTATCCAGAAAAGAAAAATGAAGTCAGGTTTTCCTGTGAGATGGCATAATAATTGAGATTTATTACAATAAAATAAATGAGTAGTGTAAAAAATTCATTCTATAGACTCCCTGGATTTTCTTTCCTCAGGTCAAAACCCAATTTCGATGGTGCCTCTTTAGCAAGTGATAAGAATGACTGTAAAACAGAAAGCAAAAATGACTCTAAGGCGGAAAGGAAAAAGTCTTCGTCTTCCAGCCAGGTAATCGGGGAATGAGATGTGCGTTGTCTCAGAGGGCGACAGAGGCATAAAGCCAATGGGAAGAAAGAACCCGAGTGTGCAACTTTCTGCTCGTCAGGACTCACATAAGCATAGATTTTAGAGACTCTTAAACAAAACGAAACCAAGAAAAGGCTAGGCTGTAGTTGCTTTAGTTGATTTTCATCACTGACCTTTCAACACACATTGAGTGGGTAGTGAGTCCCATGTGGAATAACGCGACAGGGCTCTCAGGCATCCCCAACAGGCGCCAGCACCAGCCGAGGGCTTGGCTTATCATGGTCAAGGCCGGGAGAGGTGTGACATCTTTGCATTAAAATGAAAGAGTGATAAGGCACCCCTGTGAACAGAAGGCCACCCAACTGCACACAGGAGGAACACCTGTGACCAGCGTAATGGTTCTCTCCCAGAAATAATTTTGGATAGGTGTTGAAGCCCAGTTCTGTGCCACAGAGTGTGACGTACTCTCTGGGCCAGCAGTCAGGTTTTTGATACTTCATCTCTAAGTACTTGAATATATGACTCCTAAGAACGATTACAGAACAGAAATCCCAGTCAAGATGGAGGCGTAGGTGGACATTTCACCTCCTTCCACAGCCATAAGAAGGATCACAACTAATCTCCAAACAAAAAACACTCAGAACTACCAGAAAATCTAATTGTGTGAAAGTGCAACAACCAAGGATTCAAAGAAGCCACGTTCATCCAGATGGGTAGGAGGGGTGGAGGCAGAGAGCCAGGGTGGAGAGGACGCAGCGTGGCGGCGGCAAGGCGGCAGTGGCGTCTGTGGCCAGTGGAACGGGCAGGACAAAATAGGGGGATGTTAAGAATGGTATAGGTTCTACATTTCTTTCAAAAACCCTAGTTAAATAACTGATCTGTTAGGGGGAAAAGAAAAGACCAGGGCACATGCCTGGATTGTGGTCGGGTCCCTTGGTGGGGACGTGTGAGAGGCAACTGCACATGGATGTTTCTCTCCCTCTCTCTCTCCTCCCTTCGCCTCTCTCTAAAAATAAATAATCTTTAAAAAAAAAATAGAACTATTACGAAACACTGTCAACACACCCAATAAATTTAACTAAATAGTAAATATAAAAAATATATTATTAATATACTATCTATTCTCAAATTTCCACAATTTTCCCAGCAGTGAGTATCCTTTATAAGGGTTATTTCTTTCCCTCTCTAAAATCCAGTCAGGAGTCAGGCACTGCATTTGTCACGTTGCTTTTTATTTCAATCAGTCCTACTACCTTTTTCTTAAATCCTCACCTGAGGATATGTTAATTGATTTGAGGGAGGGAGGGAGGGAGGGAGGGAGGAACGTTAATGTGGGAGAAACACTGATGGTTGCCTCCCATACGCGCCCTAACCAGGGATCGAACCTGCGCCCTTTTGGTGCATAGGACGATGCTCCAACCAGCTGAGTCACTGGGCCCGTTACCTTTTTTTTTTTTTTTAACTTCTTATCACAGTTACATGTGTGAAGAGTCCATGGCCCAGGATATTTTTAAATCAAGGGTGCACCCAAGTTCACTGTAGCCACTGAAAACAATCTCAGTAAAACCCCCATAGAACATCTGGCTTTAATCAAGGTGACTTCCTGGATGCACGATGCACTCCCAGGAAGCAGCATATGGTAACCTCCTTTATATGAGGTGTTTATCTATAAAACAACTAACTCGTAGGGGTCTGTCTGTCATCGGCATGACCTGTCTGAAGCTCTTCTTTATAGCAGTACTAGGACCCATTTTGCCGTTAAGACCACACCTAGTTTAGATAGTAAAACATCAAGGCCTAAATGTAGTATCTCTCTATTTTCCCCATGAGGTTTTTTTCATCAAAAGCCCCAATCAGGCAGAGTGGTCCTGTGGAAGGAGGACCCAGCTCCATCTCTGAGTAACTCAGTACTCAGTGGTTCCAGTTACTCAGTATTTTTGAGGCTCAGCATTCTGACCCGTGCAATGGGGGTGTCGACCCCCAGGTTATTGTGCGGGTGGCTTGTGAAAGCACCTTACAAAGCTTAAAGTGCGGTCTGCACATTGCTGTCCCAGTTGTGGGAATAGATGCCTTGAAAATGAAGTGCTTTGCAGCATTTCCAACTCTTGGGCTTTCTACCTCCCTTGAGAGAAATCCGTCTTGTCTCGACAGCCATCTCCCCTGAAGGGATGCCTTCACAACAATAACAGTGTCAGAGACAATGTCAGAGAGTAGGTCCTTTAGCTGTATGATCCCATTTAAGCCTATGGCATCCCACTGAGGAAAGCACTGTTTCTGCCCTCTGGCACAAAAGAGGAAACTGAGGCTCAGAGCAGTTAAGCGACCAGGCCACAGTCACAAACCAAAGAAGAGATGTAGCCACAACCTAAACTTGGGTTGATGTGACTACAAAGTTTTTAACCACTGTCTCCTGAGAGTACTCACTGGTATAGCGCCCTGGGATCTTTGTCTTGCCTGGTGAGATTCCTTAGAATTTCTTCTCATTTCTTATTTAGGGCATCCTTACCTAGCTCTTTGGCCGAAGGCTGGCCACGAACTGCATCGTGATTGTAGCTGTCTATCCATCCAGCAGGTCACTAGTCTTGCTGGAAACAACAAGGGTTTGTGCCCTGCCTCCCACTGTTTTTCACTGAAGGGTTGTGTTGGAGACTGTAAGCTCAGAGAAATGGAATTCCTGAAGATATATAATAAGGGAGGGAGAATGTGTCATGTACTTTCAATGGAAGTTAAAATGTGTGATGGTTCACAAGAAAACTAAGACCAGTGATTTCTCTGTTTTGTTCTCACTGCAGTACAAGGCAAATATGCACTTTCACAAGTTGTTTGTTGATGTCCCAACTGAGGAACCACTGAGGCAAAGTAAGTTCTGACCTGTTTGACTTTTTATGCTATGTATTTGAAAAGATGCTCATTGATTTTGTGAGAGAAAGAGGGCAGGGTCTGGGGAGGGCGTCGCCAAGGGGGATCCGTTCCTGAAAGCCGTGCTGCAGCAGTGATGCCGGCTGCACGCATCGCTCACCGAGTACCTTGAAAGACAAGAAAGCAGAGTAGGAAACTGAATCTCTCCACATGCTCTAGAATCCGTCCAAGAGGATTCCATATTTCCTGCTGAAATGCATTGTGTTTGGCTTGTCCTGAGATACAGGACAAAAAGAAACACAGGCCTGGGTGGACAGACAGGCGTTGATACCTGCATTGTGCAGAGCTCATGATCCCGTCTGCATGCCTTGCGCAGCCTGCCAGGGAGGCACCTGCTCTCCTTGTGGTTCCCGGGGCCCGGGGCTCCCGTCGAGCCTCTCCGTATACAGTGTTGACGCAAGGTGCTGGACTCCAGCCACGGTCTCCAAACAGGAAGGTGCGGGTCACGCGCTCTTCCCGCAGTTAGACTGTCCATAGTGTTCCAAAGGGAGTCACCAGTGACCGTCCCAGGGAAGGCGGGACAGGAGTGCCAACAGTAGCCCAAAGGTGACGCCCCTTCCTGCGTAAAGGGGGTTTCTGAAATGCCGTTCCTGAACTCCCATTTGTAATGGCAGACTCGCCTTCCCAGTTTGAATTTCATACTAAACTTTGTAAGACTTTGCATGAAAAGAAATTGTTTCACTATTTTTATTCCACTATAGATGATTGAAAAAGAGGTGACAGGTCTTTTGAGTCTGTGAGTGTATTATCTCTACCCATCTCTGAGTCACAGCATATGTACAGAAGTCTCATGTTAAATTAATTGCTAAATGATGTTATACCTGTACATATTTTCCCAGGTTTTACCTGTGCCCTGCAGAAAGAGATATTATACCAAGGGAAGCTCTTTGTATCAGAAAACTGGATCTGTTTTCATTCCAAGGTCTTTGGAAAAGACACTAAGGTTTGTATAATTTTTTAGAAAGAAGGCTAACCCTCTGCTATATTTATGAATATTGTTTTAAGTGTAGCAATATTTGTAATATTTGTGTCATTATTTTACCCTCACGCAAAGTTTCCTTTATGGTAGTTCCAAACAATGCTGGTTCTAAATGCCTCTCGATGACACATCTCTCTCCCCCACAATCCGGCCCTACATCCTCCTTACCCAGGTGCCACCAGAGAACACTCAAAGTTGTTCATATGAAAAGCATCCCATAATCAGTCTCAAAGATGTGCATTACACCCAAAACCATTGTTTTAGGAAACACTTATTTCGTATTGTATTCACACCAGTTAACTATTGGAGCTGTGTAGAAGAACAGGCCTCCAAACAAGCAACTTAGTAGAGCTCACTTTGTACCGTCAGCAGCACAAAAGGAGCGGGAATTGGAGCATTTAAGACCTGGTCTGAGAGAGCTGGAGACCCACAGTCCCCAAGGGATGTGAGTGCCGCCTTTCCCTTCTCCGCAAGCACAGATCCGGGGGAGTAGAGGCCCATGCCACATGGAGCCACTAAGGAGAGCAGCCTGAAGGAACTGGCAGTTTTCCCAGGGCACCGCCTGCCGAAACAAGGGCCCTGGGCCTGTGCCATAAGAAGGGAAACACAGTTCCCTCCCACTGACATTCTCAGCCTTTGAGCTATGCTGTCACATTCAGGTCACCAGAATAAGGAGTCAGAGAAACATCTTCTGAGGTTTGCGTGACCTCAGCGAGTTTTCAAAGATGGTGACTTACGATTATGAATCAGCAGCATGTGTATTCATGAAGTAGCTGAGTAAAAATTCTTTTTAAGTGGTAGGTATGTTTCATTTAAGTGTTCTTCCTAAAGCCACTGGCAGTTTTATAGATAAAGACCACTTAACAAATAAAATGGAGAGTCTTGTCTTTGTTGGTGTTGAGTCAGCAGACAGCATTCTAGTTTTAGGTCAAACATGTTATTTTTATATCGTTCCTTTGCTAGATGGAGTTGTTTAGATAAATATTTTGATGCACAGTACTAGCTGAATCAGTGTAAGACAGGGCAATGTTAAGCAGTAGCTCACCATATTTCTAGATTTCTGGTTTCTAAGATCGTGTTCCTGGAGTGGGCAAGGGGATTGGGAAGTGCTGAGCTCCAGTCCAATGTGGTAAAGATAATTCTCAGGAATTCAGAGCGAGCCAGCGCCTTTGACTGAAGCAGCAGGGTTTGAAGACATTAGTGAGCAAACAATGCCGTTTTTAAGGAACAGGGGAATTCACACAGCCAGCCTGTGCGGTTTCAAGCTAATGTGATCCTGCCAGTGGTTTCAAAATCCTACTTCTACCGAAGAGAGAACTGACCCCCCGAAAAGGTGAAAAGAGTGACCCTGGTTTTTTAAAGACTTAACACACTGGGATTGCTTTTTGCGTGTGTTCTAAGAGAAAAGCGATTGAAAACTAGTAGGAATCGGGACAAAGAACCATGAGAGGGACTTGTACATTTCTTCCCCTCAAAGGATGATGTCAAGGAGATGGGATTCAGCTCTGTGGCAGTTTCCTCACTGCCTGTAGATCTTGGTCCAGCACGATCCAGTGTGAACTAAAGGCAACCAAACAGTCTGCCCTAGGAAGGGGAGTTTTCCAGCATCCTACCCAGGAAACAATATTGATCAAGCATAGTCTTAATTTAATCAGGACCTTTTAGCCTACTGGTATTTTCAGATGCTAGTAAAATTAAACACATGTATCACACTCCATCTAGGCTCAAACTAAACGGTTATTTCTACTTTATGTCTCAGGTGTTATTTAGTTGTCATTATATACTTATGAAGCAATTGATCAAAAGTTCTTTCTCCAGGGGGCTCCATGCTTAGATTATGCAGGGGGGGATCCAAATGTTTAGACCCTCAACACGGTGTATATGTTGCTGTTCAGAAACAAAACAAAATGAGACTTGTTTTTATATCACCATCTGTCTGAGTAGATCTTAACTTCTTTCCAAAGTTATCTCATACCTGGAGGGGCAGTACAACAATTCCATCTCATAGACCTAAATATGAATGCAAATATTCAACATTAAAAGCATTTTTTTCTTCCTTTAAGCTGGCAGTACTAACATAAAGCCCTCCTCTTCCCCACTGACCTTATTAATCTCTTTCAGAATATAAAAAACATTTTTACAAAATATATGTTCAAGTGAGTGGATGTACCTATCGAGAGATTCAGGTCATTTTCCTTTTACCATGAGTGTGTGTGACTCTGTTTTCAGGAATCAAAGTGATGTGATCAATTTTTTTTTTTTTTTTTTTTTTTTTTTTTTTTTTTAGCCTAACCTGGTTGAAGGGATGTAACATAAAAGTATCAGGAACATCAACTATTCTTTGTGGTATCTGATACATTCTTGCAATACACTGTATGAAAAAGAACTACATTTGGAATCAGATTTGTTCAGATTCTGTCTTTGTAACTTGCTGTATTTATGACATTGAGCAAGCCATACACCACCCTAAACAAATGTCCTTATCTCTTAGACTATCTGCTTTACAGGAATGCCATAACTAAATGATCTTCTCATCTGGTAAATTGCTATTCTTTATTGTTTGAACTGGAAAAGCACTTAAGAGTTCTTTTATTTCACCCATCCTCTTTACTTGAGGCAAATGAGGAAATGAACAACACTTTCATTGAGTGCTAGGTATTTTCCATATATTACCTCATTTAATCCGGAGAAAATGCTGGGAAGTAGATAAGACTATCCTCATTTTACAAATCAGGAAACTGAGACCTAGAAAGGATAACTCATAAGGCAGAGTAGGTCCTACAGATAATGACAGAACCGAACTGAGGGTTCGTGTCCCAGACTTTTTGTCCAGTCATGGCTCTATACGCCAGTGCTTTTCAACATTTGTTCTACCCGCCTGGGCCTAAGGACAGAGGAGAGCGGGGTATGGGAGATTAACCCAAAGTGGATGACCACCAGCACGGAGCTTCTTTAGAGCCGTGGGCTTATCTTTAACATGAATGTAAGTAAAATACAGGTTTCCCAGGAAGCCCTTCAGTAGAACTAAGGCTCCAGATTTACCCTCTGGCTTTAACACCAGGTGAAGGAGCTCGGTGACACAGGCATGCCGCTCTTTAAGATGCACTTTTCTTAAGGATCCCAGAGAGCCTGCTGCTGATTTTGACTTCTTTGTTGTTGGTTTTGTTTGGTTTTGTTTTGTTTTTCCTTTAACGTGAAGATCTGAAGTGTTGTTCTGTGAAGCCTTAACCAGTGCGTTAACTCAGTGTTTCCGTTTCAGATCTCTATTCCAGCTTTCTCCGTAACCCTAATAAAGAAAACCAAAACTGCCCTTCTGGTGCCAAATGCCCTGATTATAGCGACAGTCACAGACAGGGTAAGTATGTGACAGCAAAGCTTGCTCTGTCCTGCTCTGACCTTCCACTGCCTCAGGGGCCTCTTGCCTGGACCCTGCCCCGAACCCTGCGGACCACCCTCTCCCACAGGAAATCAGCACATATGCTCTAAGACTAATTTTTAAAATCCTGGCCTTTAGACATTTGTATAGTGTTGTTTCCCCTCACAAGATGATTTACTCTAATATAAGCGTTGCCAGTTTTTAATGTCCTGCTGACTTAATTATACTTGCTTGACCAAGGTCAAAAGGTAAAATAAAATTCCTTCCCAGCTTCCCTTTTTCTAACATCTGTTAGGTCAGACTAACCTGCTGTTCCATTTCTTTAGTGTTATTTAGAACAACAACCATCACCAGGATGATGCTGAGGCGTCCCTGGGGTGGGGGTGGCCGGCCGCCCTATAACCTCCATTGGTACCTCTCCAAAGACACCCCAAATACATAAAACTTGTCTTGCCCTGCGCATGCAGCTTCAGACCTGTTCCTAGCTCCTCTTTGCTCCCGGGTTACTTTATCCCACTTCCATACAGAAATCCCCAAGGCGTCCGTGACTGTTGGGATATCGCAGACATGGGCAACCAGGAGTATTTGCGCTGAGAGGTGTTTGTTTCAGCTTGGGAAGAGAGAGGGAGTGGAATATTGTGGTTATTCATATTTCACTTGAAATTTTTGTTTAATATTTTACCTATTATTTCTATGAAAGCATGAAGGCCACATTCCACCTCTATCGATACTGGATAGTTGAAGAGGAAGGAAAAAATGAAAAGGCTGTTCTCATGAACTAGGAAATATGTTAATATCTGGTTTCTAAAAATTGTTTAGATATATTAATGGCTAACAAGCATCAAGTTCTTCTAGCCAGGCATATGCTAAATACTTTCCTTGCATTTGTTTCACATGTATTCCATACTCCCACCCCCTGAGAGGTAGGTACTGTTAGGAAAGCAAGCTTAGAGGGATTAAGTAGCAATTTGCCCAACGTTGCCTACTTACTGTCAACAGCCAAAATTTGCAACTGGGTCTGGCTGATGCCACAACCCATAATGTCAACTACTTTGGAACACAATGCTTGTGTTGTATTGTATTGTATTTCCATGGGTGATGAGAGGGGTAATCGCAAACTTTGGAAAGTGAGTCTGGGAAGATTCTGTGGCTCAAATAGATGGAGAAAGAATGAGTTTTAATATTTTCTCAATGTACTGTTTATGGTAAAATCATTTTTCCTACTGTCATTGGTCTCCAAATTACTTGTCTAGTTCTGATTTTACTTCTTTCCCATAACTTACTTGTGAGCATCCACTACAAAACTCTCTATATTTGTACAAGGAAGGATCTGGAAGTGGCTTTAAAAAGAACGAGCCTGTTAGAGCTCCTGGGAAATTTTCAATGGAAATCTAGGTCAGGGCAGAGAAAGCAAACCCTCAGGAATTGCTAAATACCTTTTTTAAAAAGAAAGTAGAGAGACTTTACAGAGGATCTAGTAAATATCACTAGCCTTTTTTTAATGTCCAGTTCATTTCTTACTTGTGCTTATTTGGGGCACCTTCATCAAGAAGTTAGAGCCTTCATTTTTCTCTACATTTGTTTATTACTTAAATTGGTTTTGAGGGTATGGTGCTATTGCTGGGAAATATATTTCTTTTATTCCAGGAATGGAATAAAAACCAAATGTGTGGGTGAACAGAATGAGAATATAGACCAGAGAATGGTCTATATCGTTTAAAATGAAAAAATACAAATTTTTGAACTCTGAATACTCACTTCTCGTCAGGCAGTATCTATTATTAATTACTTTGTTTGTTTTTCAGTACATATTTGTCTCCTTACTCTCCAGAGATTCAACTTATAAACTGCTAAAATCTGTGTGTGGACACTTGGATGTGAGTACAACATTGCCAAGCCTAAGTTGCTGTCTGTCTTTTGTGTTTCTGCCAGTTTCATAGTTAATCTAATGTTTCATTTTGTTTCAATAATTTCAGAGTACAAGTGTTGGAAACAGTCCCAGTCCATCTTCTCTTGAAAACAGTTTCCGGGCAGAACACCCTACGTCTCTGCCTCTGGTGAGTTCCCTATATAACTACCTAAATACAAAAAAAGAGAGGGAGAGAGAGAGAGAATATATCCCTCAATGACTCTTCTTGCACTATGACCAGGGTGCAGGAGGTACTTAGGGCCACAGTATTTGAGGCAAATTGAAGAAACAGGCATTTCTATCCTGAAGAAGAGGAGGAGCCATAGCAGGTCATAAATTTTTTTTTAAGTAACTAATTGAAGGGTTGTCCTGCAAAGGAAGAGACACCCCATAGTGGGCTGTCTTGGGGATTACAGGACACTGGAGGTATTCCTGAAGTTTTGCTGTGTTTGCTTTGTCAGTGTCGTTTTGGAGGGATTCACCGGTCTGTTTGGGGTAGAGCATGATTCATCCCACAAATAGTTCAGTGTCCCCTGTGTTCAAGACACTGTGCTAGATTATGCTGTAAGGACACCCGGGAAAATCTAGGCTAGTTCTTGCCTTCAAAGACTTGACAGCTTAATGGAGAAGATGAGGAACACCCAGAAATAACTGTGAAAAAAAGAAGGAAAGACAGAAAGAAAGCTCTAATGCCCTAGTGGAAGGCAGAGATTCTTTGATTCCTTTAGACTTTGTTGACTGTAGAGTTAATCTCGAGTGGGGTGTAACTCCCCCCATGTCTCTGTACAAGATGTATGCCTAGATGGTATAAGTTGGCCCAAAGAGTCCTAGCCATATGATTCAAGTGACTGTTCCCAAGTTGATTATTGTGGAATGTTGACATGCCTTTCATGAAGTGGTATGAGCCCATGGTTTCAACATCTACAAATCTTGGGGTTATTTTAAGATTTTATTTATTTATTTTCAGAGGAGGAAGGGAGGGAGAAAGAGAGGGAGAGAAACATTGCATGCCCCCAACTGGGGGCCTGGCCCACAACCCAGGCATGTGCCCTAACAGGAAGTAAAACCAGAGACCATTCATTTTGCAAGCCTGTGCTCAGTCCACTGAGCCACAGCATCTAGGATTACAAATCTTTTTATTGAGAGGTGTTAAAAAATAGTGGGATTGAAAATACATTCCTATAAAAACTTCAATTCATAATAGCCAAAAAGTGGAAACAACCCTAATGTCCACCAACTGATGAATGAAAATACAAAATTTAATCTATCCGTACAATAATGGAATATTATTTTCCTAGAGAGGAATGAAAAACTGCTATTACACACTACAATATTGATGAGCTTTGAAAACAGTATGCTAAGTTAAAAAAGCCAGGCACAAAAAAGGCCACAATATTGTATGATTCTCTTTATACAAAAGTATTCCAAAGAGGCAAATCCCTACGGATGGAAAGCAGATGAGTGTTGCCAAGGCATGTGAGAGAGGGAAACATTGAAAGTGACTGCTAATGGGTAAAGGTTTTCTTTTGGGGGGTAATAGCAATGTTCTGAAATAGGATAATGGTGGCGGTTGCACAGCACTGTGAATAGTCTAAAAACAACTGAATCATACATTTAAAGTGGTGGATTTTATCTCAATGATTTTAAAAAAAACTTTTTAAAAACCTTTTTTAAAACCTTTTAAAACTAGTGGAAAGCAGTGCAAAATGGAATGAAACACATACAACTGGAACCCAACAAGCCTGGTTTCAAACCTGGGTTCCCCCCAGCTGAGCTACACCATCGCACAAGCTCTTTAACTGCCCTTACTCAGCTTCTTCACGATGTGGCATAAAGGTTAAGTGCAGTCATGTAAGAAGCTTTGCATACTGCCTGGTACATGATAGGCATGCAATAAATAAATATTAAATTGAAGAGACTTGAATTTTGTCCATTTTCTTACCCTATAAAAATCTTGCATGAAATTGAAATGACCAAAGGACAGGTAGTTGAAGGTGAAAGGTTGGTAATTTGCTTGCAAGATGAGTCTCTTTCATTTGACAGCTAAGTAAATTGTGGAGAGCTCAGCCTAACTGCACCTTCACCCAGATGTTTTCATGACAGTTCTTGTCTCATCAGTTCTTAAGCACTTCGGGGAAATGAGTGGGATACAAAGGAAAACATTCCTGCCTCTTTCCCTACTCCCCACTTCTCTACCATCCTTCTGTAATTTAAATGTAATATCACTGATGCTGTTTTGACTTAGTTAAGGGAAGAAAAAAAAAGCTGAAATTTTCCTTTCAGGGTCTAATTTGTTAAAGCCATTTTCCCTCATCTGTTTCCAGTACCTTTTTAAAACTGTAATCGAAGAATACCTTTCTCTGCGTGTACCTATTCAAACACACATTTAGATCTCTCTGCCTACTTTTTTCTTTTATATACGTCTATTTCAGTCACTATTTCTCATTACATAATGCTCATTGAGGCTTCTGCAACTTTATCCTGGAAGCTTTTCCATCATCAGCATTTCAGTTTATTTTTCCTAGACATTTATTATATCAAACAAGTTGCCCACTGCTGACAGAATTCTAACTGCCCAGAAGAATCTGTTTCAATAACCAGATACTCAGTGATCTGTGGGGAAGATCCAGTAGTATGGGGTAATCCTTCCTTTTCCATATTTTATAGGTCAGGCCTAAGTAAAAAGACTGGAAGTGACAAAGGTCTGCCTTTTTAATGAGGGGAAATTGGCCCTGGCTGCTGTGGCTCAGAGAACTGGGCACCATCCTATGAACCAAAAGATCTCCAGTTTGATTCCCAGCCAGGGCACATGCCTGGGTTGCGGGCCAGGTCCCCATTTGAGGGCATGTGAGAGGCAACCAACTGATGTTTCTCTCCCTCTCTGTCTCCCTCCCTAACCCCATTCTCTAAAAAGTAAATAAATAAAATCTTTTTTTTTTTAAAGGATTGGTGGAGGGGTGGAACTGGCCTCTCTTCATTTCATTATTTCCCTTCAGGATTTCAACGATGAATTCTCAGATCTGGATGGAGTGGTTCAACAAAGAAGGCAAGACATGGAAGGATACAGCAGTTCTGGTTCTCAGACTCCTGAATCCGAGAACTCTAGAGGTGAGGGAAATTTTTGTACCTTGGGTAAAATTTAATTCTCCGCAAACATCTTCATCCTACCCCTTAAAAACCAAAAAACAAAACCAACAGCAAGAAACCCTTGCCTTCCTACTTAACAATTGGAAAGAGAATCTAAGGAAAGGGTAGTTTGAAAGTTCCAGAAAACAAAATTGCCTATGTGGTAAAAATCCATTTCCGTTTATGCATATTTAACAAATGTCCCTTAAATTGGCATAATACTAGGTTGATTGAAAGAGAGAAACATATAATGTGTCCTTCCCATTTTTAATAATATTAATTGTTATAGCTGAATTGTTTCCAAGAGTCAGTGGGATAAGGACACATTGTCCTTATATCATTCTATTACTTATTTGCTTGATGATTGGATTTCAATCCCCAATCACTCAACCAGCTTATGAGAAGATCCATTTATATACTTGGCTCTTAGGCATGTTAAGAGCTTGATTTGCTTTTGTGGCTGACACTACAATTTGAATGTTTTGAGAAGAAAACTTACCCAGCCCCATTTTGGCCTGATAGATTTCCATGTGACAGAATCCCAGACAGTTCTGAATGTCTCCAAGGGAGAAGCAAAACCAACGAGGGCAGATGCCCATGTGAACAGAGTACCTGAAGGAAAAGTCAAGAGTCTCCCTGCACGTGGTAAAGAACAGATTGGGGTGGGGATGCGGGTAGAGGGGCATCTGCTTGTAACTTTTTTTTCTTTCTCCATTTTTTTCTCTTTTGGTTTGTAACTTTTAAAGGGATTTCATTTTATGACTGCCTTTCATATTCCCTCCCTTCCCTCCCTGTTGTCGATCTTTGCATTTTAAATCAACAAACATTACCAAGTCCCCTGCTTTACTATGGGGGAAACAAACGTGAATAGCCTTCATGGAGGTTCCTCCATTATAATGAACACTTTGAGACTGTGTCTCAAAAAATGCTGTTAAAATTACGTGTTGAATTATTTCTCATTTACTAATTATTCTAATAATTGGTTACCAGTTGTACTAGTATAAGAATAAGGATGATATCTACATGGTTCACCATTCACTCCAACACAGTGCTCAACACAGAGAAAGCTCTCAGTAAGCAGGGCTGAATGAAGCGTTTGGAAGGAATTGTAACTACTGGTTAAAATGACAGCTGGAAGGCTTCAGTTAGTATTTTCTGTGATTTCTATTACTTGGGAATAACTATCTCTTCTTTAAGGCATTTTTTTAATTTTATTTCTTGATTTTGGGGGGCGGGGGAAGAGAGATGGAAGGAGGGGGAGAAAAAGAAACAGAGAGAAACAGTGATTTGTTGTTCTACTTATTTATGCACGCATTGGTTGATTCTTGTACGTGCCCTGACCAGGAGATCAAACCCATGACCTTGGTGTAAAGGGATGATGCTCTAACCAGCCGAGCTACCTGGCCAGGGTCTGATTATCTCTTTCCAGGACCTCTTCCCCACAGCAATATGGCTGGATGAAGGTGTTTTAAAACCGTCACTTTCCATTTTCCACCCAACAGGTCAGTCAGAAACCATTGGAATATTACACGAAGTCAAGTCTCAGAAATATCCAACTCTCCGCCATATTCTTATATTCTATGCAATCGTGTAAGTAAATTAATTTACTAAAAGTGACTTAAGAAAAGGATTCAGTTCTTTAAAAGGAATAATTTTTTCATGTTGCCAAGAGCCATTGTAAATCTCAGTTGTGTCTAATGTGACCCAAATCTATTTGCAACCATTTTTCTTTTTTACTTCAACATTTTTTTCCTTATGCTGAGGTGACATTTTCACACTCATCCCCTTCTCATTTAAATAGTGAGAAGGAAGCAAGGAAAAGCAAAATGATTGTGCCGAATCCAGCAGACGACTAAGTTTTGAGTGGCTACAATTAGTTGGGAAATTATAATGAAGCATCTTTGTGCTTATTGTTTATTTTCCATCCAACCCATGTTCTCTGGATAGAGGCCAGAACAACTTTAAAATGTCATCCCCTTTATTGAAATCTTCGGCATTGACTTTTTTAACTTCCGCCTCGGCTTCTAGTCTGTAATCAGTTGTTGTTCTGAAAATAGCCTGACCCAGTTCTAGGCCGTTCCTTACAACCAAGGAGGACGTGCCTAGTGTGATTTCCAGATAAAGAGAGGAATTGGTGAGTCACCAGAGAACAAGACTGGGTGCTCACTGTCTGGGCCCTTCTGCTGAGGGACGTGGCGCCGAGTGCAAGGAAGCGCACTGGCTTGCTAATCCTCCTTGGGTGCGGCCTAGAGAGATCCCATTGGAGTTTCTTGTAAATTGAGAAGCTTTAACTACAGCTTCTAGCTCTAAAGTTTTTTGACAAGCATCAGCCTGTTGAACAAAGATCTTTTAAAGTCTCTTTGGCCAAGTTGTTTTAGAAAATACCTTGCCTCAACTGTATGTTGGCTCTGAGTTTATTATTTTATGAACATCTGGGCCTGGCCATTAACCACTGAGATTTCTCTTTTATCCCCTTCCAGGGTCTGTGCACTAATCATCTCGACCTTCTACATGAGATACAGAATTAATACTCTGGAGGAGCGGCTGGGCTCACTAACCTCCACTGTGGACGGCCATCATACCGAGTAAGACATTTCCCTCCCAGGCTGTCATCTGCTTGCTGTTCAGATTAGTATGGTGTTTGACCTGAGCTTGGCAACCTTTGTAGCAAGTATTAACTAAGGATGCATTTTGTATGAGACATTTTACGTGCATATGTGGGAAGAGGTAGGAAGGTCCTAGGCGTAAATGACCTGATTGCACGTGTTCTTGAGTTGCTCTAGTGTTGCCAGTGATAAGGCGAGAAACAAGCCTAACTTTACATTATCTTGTTCCATTTCCCTAAGACTCAGTTGTGACCTTGGCCCATTTACTGAAATATAAAAGTTTATCTTAGTAAAAAGGCAAGGAGTCAAGACATTCATAGGAAAGAAGTAATTCAAGTAACTCAGTACATTTCATCCCCTATCACTCTTCATAGTAGCCCATTTGTTTACAAAACTCCAGCTGTGAACATTTTCCATCACAGTATTTTTCACATGCCTGAACTTATGAAACCTATTCAGACATAGAGCCTTTTTATTCAAACCCATTTCCATGAGGATTTTGACACACTGCCTAAAAAGTAAAATAAGCTATTCCATGTTAGAAAGCATACTTAGCACAAGTTTTAAAAGTAGTGGTACTCCTTTACAGGGTGCACACCATGTGCTAGCAATTTTAGTAGAACGGATCCATACATGCACAAATGCAAGTTCTTCTCACTCTGTCACTCACTGTACCCTATAAGGTGGCTATGATTCCCGTGTTACAAATGAGGTAACTGAGACTGAAAGAATTAGCTTAATGCCCTAAAGTCTGAAATAGACTCAGGATTCAAATGTAGGTCTGTAGCACTACAAAGACCATAGGCTTTCCAGTCTCCCTGTAGCTGCTTGGCTGTGAGAAACAACCTAGAGCTGGTTCAGGCTGTTGTCAGTGAGCTTCAGAAGCATTCAGGGGGCTTGTTAAAACAAATCACAGGGCCCATCCTCAAAGTTTCTGATGCAGTGGATCTGAGTTTGGGCCTGAGAATTTGCATTTCTCTCAAGTGCCCAGTGATGCTGCTGGTGCCAGCCTGAGGTCTACGCTTGGAGAACGATGACGCTCTATCACTCTAGGGCCTTTCTTTGTGCTCTAACCATTACCCAAAAGTCTCATTCTGTGCGTTAATAGTATTCTGGCATACAGGTTACTTTTGAACCATAAATACACATTTGAACCAGTAATACAGAAGCCTAAAGAATGATTTGGAATAGATTCATACCCTGCCCATACTCTTCTCCTGTCTTGTTCAAAATGTTAATACACTTAGAATTAGCACTGATTCTAGATTACTGCAGACTGTTCTTGTTCACTAGCATATAAGGGTTTATTTTAGGAAAATGTGCACCATGTGCTATTACCATTCAGGTAACTTGGTGATGATGAATGGGAAATTCCACTAACAAAGGCAGGTAAAATATTTATTCTACTATTTAATTAATCAGCCCAAGAAGTACAGTCTAAAAAATAAATACTTAAAGGACAAATCACAAAGATCACACATGACATGAGATCAGGGAACCACCTATGGCAGAAAGTTCTGTTAATGAAATACTTTTACAGAACCCGAGCCCCCTCGTATCTTCCTCTGTCCAGGGTAATCAACCCAGCCACAAGGCCCAGGTTGCTAGATCCACATGCCTAATCCCATATGAATCCGTATTTTGTACCAGCTTTGTTACTACAGGTACAGCCTATAGATTGTCAGAATTTTGTGGTGATAAAATCTTTCTGATACAAAGCTGTACTCTGGGTCTCGGGTCCCTCACCTAGAAACTGAAAGATTTAGATTCCGTTTCATTGATGGGATCTAAGATTTTGACAGTATGGATCAATGATAGAAAGCTGTTTTAGAACTAGAAAATAAAAAAACACCTGATTGTTTTCTTCATATGGGTCATATGTAAAATATGTTAGACGAGGCATCATCATCTAAAAATTTAATGGCTACAGATAAATTACAACCAAGAAATAGAAGCTATAGACCATAGTTCTTAACCCTAACAAGAACATCTGATAAACAGCTTTAGACCATATCTCCAGGAAAAAAAATATATTAAAAACTCTAAATTTCCTACAGTTTTAGCTGTTATAGGACCCCAGTGGACTCCAGAGTAAGAAAGAGCCCATGCCATAAGTAGTCTAATGGTAAATAGTGAACACATCTGATAGGTTGTAAGACAAGAGCAAATTACATTTGTATGGCAAGTCTCAAAGAACTACAACAGTCTCACACTTCAACAGAAATTCGATGAAAGACATTTCTAAATGTTGTGAAACTTCTCATGTAAAGGCTTCCTGCTCCCACAAAAAAAAGAAAAAAGAAAAAATATATATATAAAGAGCAATAATTTTTGCAAACTTACACTGTAGTGGGGATAGAGAAGACATTGGAAGCTAATAAAAAGGGTTTAAGAAACCACACACTTGAGAGTAATTGTATGATTTTTGTGTGGAAGCCGAGGCACAACATAGCCACTTAAACAAAAATAGCTTCAGGGGTTTGTTTCCAGCTGAGCTGTTAAGAAACAGTATGGCGACCTCTAGTCTGGCGTTGTGGATTCCTGCAGGGCCTTTCTGATGTTAACAAGCTAAATGCTCACGCTTCTCTCTTATAACCTAGTTTTCTGTTCAAGTGCATTTTACGTGTGTTTATTCAACTTCTTTCTTTGCCATTCCTGCCCACAGCCCTTTTCCTCTTTATTCTTCCAGGCAGGCAGCACCTTCCAGCCTGGGGTCACAGGTACAATTAAACGTGGAGGTCCTCTGCCGAGAGCTTACAGCCAACATACTGAAATTAGAAAAGGTGACTGATTCTCGCCTATGTCGGGGGCAGTCGGGGGCGGTCGTGCCTGTCACTTGCCATGGATCAGTGGTCACGCGTTAAAACGTTTCAGGTGCAGCATGCAGCCTAGAGGACCAAACCCAGCCAGGGGTTATGTGGTAAATATGAAAGACTGTTTGTTATTTCCACAAAGAAATAGATTTCAATTTCATTTTCCTTGTTGGTCTATCTTCTGCTTTTCCTCCTTGGTTAGACATATTTCTCTGTGCCATAGGGCCCAGTGGCAAGTGACCCCTGACACAGGGCTCGAGGGGGACACAGTAGGGAGTGTCCCCACCAGAGAGGGCCAGCCTGCCTCCACCCAGGCCACTTGTTGCCCTACATAGAATGTTGCCTTCATTCCCTATTATAACCTGGGAGATGGGTGCTATTGTTCCTCTCTGACAGAGGAAGAATCCAAGTTTCTATTAACTTGCTCAAGGAGCCACATCTAGAAAGTTGGCAGGCCTGAAACTTGAAGCAGGTGTGTGTGACTTCAGATTTGTGCTCGGAAACCTCCTGCTCTACAGACCCTCGGAATCCAGCCATAGTCCTTGCTGATAAGGCTACTGACGTACCTTTACAGCTAAAGGCATCATCCTATAGGGCGACTCCAGGGCAGGCTGTCCTTATGCTTGTGGCAGTCTGAGATCTCAATAGGAGAGTGAACAAGAGAAAGAGGTAGGCATGCCCAAAATACCCAAGAGTTAACCCCGATTCACATCTCTTACTCCTTTCAACACGTTTATCTCCTCCTGTCTAAAACTGTTTTTACCCTGATCCTTAAGGAAAGAGCTAGAGTTAAGTGCTTAAGGAAAGAGCTAGAGTTAAGTGTTCAGTTCAAACCCACAAATGCCCAGTAGCTTTCCATAACAGCGCAGTTATGCTTACCTGGGGGGAAACATGAAATACAAGTGAGTCAAACTGTTTATTTTGCTACACTAAATGTTATCTAGCATTTAACCACTGATGTGTTGAGAGCAAAGGTGTTTCCAAACTTCTGTTCTTAAACCATGGCATACCAGATAATTCCTATTGAATCATTATATCTGTGGGGTGACTTGAAAACTTTTTCTCTTTTCAATCCAAAATCAACCTAGAGAACGTATGGGATAGCAGCCAGAATTGTTTTTCTTTCTAAAATATTCGTTGCTGGGAATTGAAGAGAATTCCCTTTTTGTGTGTGTGATGAAATGTTTACCAGTGTGTGGCTTTCGTGCTGACCAAATGAATGGAGTGATTTTAATTTTCCATTTTGCTCCCTCTGGCTTACACGGGCTTCTTTGGACCGGAAGCACAGAATCCTGCTGCCCTTTCCTGCATTTCTTCCCATCCTCCTGCCCGGCCTGGCCAGGACACCACATTCTGTAACAAGGGAGAGAAAAACAGGAGCTCGGACAGAGCCCAGCTACTCAGCTAAGAGGCCTGTATACCAATAGAAACCTTTGTCCCAGAGCAGAAGCATCAAAAGTGGACTTAGGGTCAAAATGCATATGGTGACGGTCTGCAAAGTTATAAATTGCACATGTGGCTCAAAGGAGTCAAAGCAGAGAAAGTTACCAGACCATACCCACGTTCCTCTTGATTGGTCTGCCCCTCCAGCCAGAGGCAGTCTGGCTAAGAGGCAGCACAGCCTGGTGGTGAAACCAGCTACGTGCCATGAGGACATGGGAGCCCTGTCTCAGCTCATTGTACCCAGTACCAGCCGTTCCTTCTACTCTCCTTCAGCGACGCCTCACATCCAAGCCTCCTGATCTGCACTGTTGTAACTTCGGGATTTCTGTTCATGGCATCACGGCCCTTTCAGGGAAACCTAAGAATAGTTTTTAACTCCCTCCTTTGTTTCACTTGCCGCTGATTGACTGATCAGTTGAGAAGTCCTATGTGATCTGTCTTCAAATGTCTCCTCAAACTCGCTTCTCAGTGACACCACCTTAGTCCACTCTGGCTCCCAGCTGCCAGTCTAACAGTGGGAGAATGGATCTCATTATGGTTTTTATTTGCCTCTTCCCCATTTCTACTGCTTGTGAACATCTTTTTGTATATTCATTGGCCGTGTAGATTTTATTCTGTAAACTGCCCGTTTATTTCCTTTGTTTTATTTTTGGGTTTTTAGTCTCTATAGGTATGTTTTATATATTTTGGATATCAGTTCTTGGTTTCATTTCTTTTTCTACCTCCCCAGTCCTGCTTTTGTGTTTGGTCCTGTGGGGTCAGTAGGAGAGACATGAAATAGAAACGTGGAGGATGAAGGCAATGCCTTTTTGGGTACAGAAGTACCTCATTTTGCTGTGTATAATAAGCACTTTTTTGCCCAAATTTTTGAGGGAAAAATAAGGATGTGCATTATACATGGGTATAACAATTACATACTATAGGTATATAATGGGCACAAAAACATGGGTGCACAGGATACGTGGCAAAATACAGTAAATACTTATTTTCTTAGAGCTGGAAATGGCATTTATGGTGGAGCAGGACAGAAGAGCATAAATTCTGGAGTCAGACCTCTGTTCTTATCCCTACTCTGCCATTCGCTGTCTGTGTAACTGGTCTTGTTCCAGAACCCTCTGGCCCCCATTTTCACGTGTAGCCCCTGCCTCTGTGTGGTAGCGGCGGTGCGTGGTTACGGCGAACGGGCATGGAGTCCCGGGCATGGACACAGTAGGTCCCCTCCCTTCACGTACCCGGGTGTGCCTGCAGGGCCCCACAGACTTCCAAAGGAGTGTGTTCTCTTCCTTTTGCTCCTCAGGGCTTCTTACTCCCATCGCAGTGCTGCTTGTTGAGAATTCCTTGCTCTGAAATCTTTCAAGTTCATTTACTCAACAAACACTTAGTAAGCACATTTCTAACGTACTCTAGTCTTGAGATCCAAAGATATGGCACAGTCCCTGCCCCTGAGAAATTCACAGTCTTCTGGGAAATGTATGCTATGTAATAGGAGTGTTAAACACTGTTAGGTGGTGTTTGTCTGATTCCCGCTCTCTAATAGGCTGTGTGAAGACCAGCTCCCCATTGTGTCCGAATGCTTTTGGGTCACACCTGGTGTCTCCAGCGTGGCTGTTCTTTTTCTTCCATCTGATTTCTCTTGGTCTGCACTGACATTTTCACCTTTGTGCCACTCTTTCTTTTCCAGCCCTCTCTTTTTTTTTTATTTTAAAGTGGATTGTCCAGCAGAGTTCTCTTCCATTAAAAAGCATTTGTTTGCCTGATCCAGATTTAATCCGTGTTGCTTTTTTGAATAATCTCAAGCTTTATATAGACCATAGTAAATATGGCCTTAATATATTCCATTCTGTTTAATAATGAAGGCTTCTCTGTTATTATTTCAAGATACAGAACAACTTGCAGAAGTTGCTTGAGAATGGCGACTGATGGACCAGATTGCTTGGGCCAACACGATACCTCGCGCTTCCCTTTGAAGAAGGTGCTCCCGCAGGTGTCCTGGTGGACGCTCCCTGCTGGCCAGAGGAGCAAGTAGCGCGGCATCCCCAGCCATGTTTGCACTTGGAGGTCTCCAGCTCAGGAAGGGGGGGGGGGATAATTTTGGTTCCTGTGCAATAAAGTTGACCTTGACTCTGACGAAGTTTTCAGTGCTGCTGCCTGAAGAAAACACCCATCTCGGGAGGTCTCAGAAAGGACCTGGCGGACACTCTCTTGGATGACTGTGGGTCAGTGGCCGTGGTGACTGTGTCAGCAAACACACTCCACAACATGCCTTTTCAGTCCTTCCCGCTCTCCCTTACACCCCAGCCTTCAAACTAAGGGATATATCATGTGCCAACAGACCTGATGTGGTCCTTTGAAGAATTAGCCGTAACTCTCCAAAGGCAATAAAGAGCTCTCATGGACAGACTTGCTTCAAAGAAATAACACCAGCATTTTCCCCCTTCCACTCTTCTGTCCTAGTTTAAATCATGTGTGTATCTTAACTTCTCAGTTGAATATTGGCAAGAATATTGGGTAAAGCAGATAAAGCATCCCATTTGTGTTTTGTTTTGCTCTTCTAACTAATACTTAATTGTACTGATTCTCACCCACCCCAGATCAAGAATCTGTGAGACATGGGACTGAAGTACTAAGTAAACTTACTTTGAAACCAAAACTAATCTTTAAACCAAAAAGGTATAATGTGATTTGACACAGGATGAAAAACACCGTATTTTTAAGATGATAAGTGGACTATGTTACTTTTGAAAAAGGATGTCTGTATTGAATGCTGAAGCCCACGTCAGCATGAGGATAGCATGCTTTTTATCTTTTACTGACTAAAATAAATAACTGGTGGTTTGCTAACTTCTATTTACCATATGGGTTGCCTGGTTTTTATTAATAATTATTTAGGTACCATAAGATCTGTAATATAAAAGATACTCTGTTTCTATCTGCAATGCATTTTATAATCATTTCTATGAAATGTATTTTATTTAATCAGATAAGCTAATAAGTGAATTGGTTACATCATTTGTATCTGTTAGCCTACTGGACAAGAATTGTGCCTGGTGCACCCTGGCTTTTAATAAATACCCATTGGTTAAAATACCCTTCTAACACTGTGCTTTGTCAATTTCTAAATTCATTTAACTAAGACAATAGGCTTTTTAACTGCTGCTTTCTCGTTACTACTTCCGTCTCACCCATACTTCTTTTCTCTCAAGTATTCATTTCAGAACTCAAAAAGTACAGTGTACTTAAACTGAGTTGCAGTAATAGAAAAGAAAATGGACTTTGGAATCAGGAAAACCAGTGCTTGATTCCTAGGACCATATTTTATGAGTTATGTGACGTTAAGCTAGATATTTGGTCATTTTCCTCCTTTTATTGAGGAGATTGAAAGGACCAATGGAAAGTGTCACTGTGAGGATTAAGTGTGATATTGTCTCTAAAGTACATGTGTGTGTCAGGCATGTAGTATGGTGACTCTCATAACAGTCACCATATTCATTATTTTTTAAAAGTGTTTTCATGTCTGACATTCCTTTTTATGAAAGTTCTATGTCAATGCTTTATAGTCAAAATCCATTAGAGATTCAAAAGGAAGTCAGCCACCTTTGGAGAGAAATTTTACAACTGTAGGAAGAGCCTTTAAAAGGTTCAAATTTTACTGATTTAGTAATCTGCCTAGGAATTTATCCTAAGGCAATAAGCAAAGATCTAGTCAAAAATTTATATACAAGAATATTCGTTGAACCTTTATGACAGCAAAATATTAGAGACTCAAAATACTCAATAGCAGAACAGTTAAATGATGTAGTTATTTAGAAAAGTATTGTCAAAGAATAGCATAGGAAATGGCATTAAAAGGGTAGGCACAAAACTACATGGTTTAATCCCAATTGTACAAACTTCCACATACGTGTGTGTGTACACACACAGATACATACAAAAATACACATGTTGACCTTTTCCGTAGTCTCTAAATTTTGCATAATGAACAGTTAGTACTATTTTTTAGTGGAACATTATTTTCATTTTTGGAAATTGGAAAAGTTATGAAAGGGATTTAAACAAAAGAACCAGAACAGAATGTGCATGTGTATAATCCACATTTAACTGCTGACATTACTTCTGCCACTGTTTTTTTCGGAACCTATCATGTCTCATGTTTTAATTAGTAAAATTTAATCACTTTTTCATAAACCTGAATTATCTGCTGTAAACTCAGTTTTATCTCACGCTCACAGGGTACTTTACCATTGCTTTTTTTCCTTTTTATTGAATTTATTGGCGTGACATTGGTTACTACCTTTTTTAATCAGATAAGCTTATTTAAAATATTAAGTGGTTCTCAGGGAATCAGATCTTGAACTGTGCACCTCCTTCCTCCCAACGCTATCGGTACTTTTTAGTGGTTTTTTTCCCCAACAATTAACTATAGTTGACTCTTCTGAAGAGAAACAGCTTCATGGTTTCTAGATTTAGACGTTGTTGTTACTAGGACTATTACTTTAAGGAATTTGCTGCTTTATTTTTTATAACTAGCTCCTAAGTCAAAATCTGGTGCAAGCAGACCTGGGTAGCGAGGTCCAGATTGCATGGGTGCATGTTAACTACAGAGAAGCATGGGAGAGCTGTCTGCCAAGAGAAAAGATATTTCGGATGTGCTAAACAAACCTGGAGGTAAATGAGCTGCATGACTAACTTAGCCATTGCTGCTAGTTACCTTCAGACAAGTAAAAAAGAAGGAGAAGGAGGGGAAGGAGAGGAGGGAGGGTAGGGACGAGGAAGAGGAGGAAGAAGCAGCAGCACGGGAAAGCAAGCATCTGGGATTTTCAGCCTCTACCACCTAAGTTACAAAAGTAGGGAATTCTAACCTAGGAAGGAGTTTCAGATGCTGAGTGGCCAAAATAATAGCAAATGTCCACCATATACCTTGTCGTTTTAAGACTTCAGTATTGGCCCTAACCAGTTGGTTGGGCATCGTCCTGCAAAGCAAAAGCTTGCCAGCTTGACTCCTGGTCAGGGCACATGCCTGGGTTGTGAGATGTTTTTCTCTCGCATCAATGTTTTTCTCCCCTACTTTCTCCCTCCCTTACCGTCACTCTAAAAATAAATAAAAGTATTTCTTCCCCTTTCTCCTCTTAAAAATAAAAAAATAAAACTTGAGTATTACCTTTATAGAATCAGAAAAAAATAAACCTTAAAAAGGGATTATTGGTTGTAATGCTATTCCTATACATTCTGATATTTTAATCTATGATTATATATTATTTTGGCAAATAGAAATTACCAGTCTCACATAAATGGGAAAAGCTATTATTATTGACTTTTCAAGCTTTGTGAATATTTAAGATACCTTTCTACATATATGCCACAACACTGCAATGCATTTCCCAGGTATGCATTTATGCAAGTCTTTGAAACCATCCCAGGCACATTTTTTAAGATGCCTTTTCCTTGCCTTCCAGAATTCATCCTAATTCATATATTCATGCAGTCAGAACAAAAATTTATAATTTAAATATGAACTGTTTCATATGCTCTTTTGATTTATGTATTCTAATAATGAAATTCAGGAGATGTTTTCCTTGCTTATCTGTTTGTTTCTGATGATCTAAAGTTCATGGGCACTAACATGTAATAGCCCAGGTGATTTTACTTTCAAGCATTTTATTAAAAGTCAGAATTCTAAACATCGGTAATAGGCCATCATTTGGGATCCATTGACCTGATCTTCTCACAAAGGAGCCCAATGATATAATATTCATTTCATGTGCTTCTTTTAAGCCCACCCTGCTGCTAATGATAATATTAACAGTTCTTAACTAAAATTTTAAAATTAAATATTAAATAAAGGATCATTGATCATTGAATTTCCAGCTCTTCTGTTTTTTCCAAATGTGAAGCCTTATCCAAAGCAATGCATAGATTCAATGCAACCACAATCAAAATTCCAATGCCCTTTTTCACAGAAATAGGACAAAGAATCCTAAAATTTCAATGGAAGGACAAAAGAACCCAAATAACCAAAGTAATCTTGAGAAAGGACAACAATTGAGTCACCATTTCCCTGATTTCAAACTATATTACAAAGCTACAGAAATCAAAACAGTATGATACTGGCATAAAAACAAACACATAGATCAATAGGAAGAGAGAGCCAAAAAATAGACTATTGTATACATGGTAAATTGATTTAGGACTAAGGAGCCAAGAATATACAATGGAGAAAGGCAGTCTCTTCAATGAATACTGTTAGGAAAATGAACAGCCACATGTAAAAGAATGAAAGTGTATTACTATCTTATACCCTACACAAAAATCAACTCAAAAATGGATTAAACACTAGAATGTAAGACCTGAAGCCATAAAACTCAAAGAAGAAAACATAGGTGATAAGCTCCTTGACATCAGTCTTGCAAAAGTTTTTAGGATCTGACACCAAAAGCAAAGGCAATCAAGCAAAAATAAATAAGTAGAACTACATCAAACTAAAAAGCTTCTGCACAGCAAAGAAAATTATCAATAAAATGAAAAGGCAACCTATTAAGTGGGAGAAAATATTTGTAAATTATAACTTTGATAAGGGATTAATGTCCAAAATAGATAAAGAACCCATACAACTAAATAGCAAAAAAATAAACAACCTGATTTTTTAAAATGGACAGAAGTTCTGAATAGACATTTTTCCAAAGAGGATATACACATGACCAACAGGTACATGAAAAGATGCTCAATATCGCTAATGATCAGGAAAATTGAAATCAAAATCACATGCACTATCACCTCACACCTGTTAGAATGGCTGTTACCAAAAAGACAACAAAGGAGTGTTGGCAAGAATGTGGGAAAAAGGAAACCTCTGTGCACTGTTGGTGGGAAAATACAATAAACTGGTGCAGTGACTGTGGAAAACAGTTTGACATTTCCTCCAAAAAATGAAAACAGAACTACCTTATGACCCAGCAATTCCACTTCTAGTTATATATCTGAAGAAAATGAAAACAGTAAATCAAAAAAGATATATGGACCCCATGCTAATGGGGCATTGAGCATGATTTACAACAGCCAAGATATAGAAACAATCTAACTAAGTGTCTATCAACAGACGACTGGATTTTTTAAAAATGTGATTGATGCATGCACACACACACACGAGAATATTGTTCAGCCATAAAAAGGAATTAAATCTTGTCATTTGCAACAACATGGATGGACCTTGAGGGTATTATGCTAAGTGAAATAAGTTAGAGAAAGATAAAAACCATATGAGCTCACTCATATGCAGACTCATAAAGATAAAACAAGCTCATAGATACATAGAACAGATTGGCGGTCGTCAGAGGCAAGGGGTGCGGGAGTGGGTGCAGTGGGTAAAGGGAGTCAAAAGGTACAAACTTCCAGTTATAAAATAAATGTCAGGGGAATGTAATGTACAGCATGGTGATCATAGTTCAAAACACTGTATTGCATATTTGAAAGTTGCTAAGAGTAGATCTTAGAAGTTCCCATCACAAGAAAAAAGGAATTCAGTACTATGTATGATGACCAATGTTAATTAGACTTACTGTGGTGAGCATTCTGCAATATATACTCGTACAGTACAAATACTGAATCATTATGTTGTACCCCTGAAACTACTGTAATATAACATTATATGCCAATTATACTTCAATTTTTAAAGGAAAGAATTTCTGTTTTTATCTAACCTTGCTAAGGTGAAATTCTTTTATATCTGCTTTTAATCTCCTAAGTAGCTGTTATAGGACTAATTCTATCTTCTAGGGTGTGTATTTTCTCAAAGAACATTTTAAAAAGCAGCCAAGATTTGTTCAATGTATGATGATCAGTTAAACAATCTGAGTATAAAATTATATGACAATTTGTAGGTAAAAATATTCACCCACATGGACAAATCCCTGGAAGGGAATACAAAGTAATGCAATTGTTAAGGTGATGAAATTCTGAATTACAAAATGGTTTTCCTTTAATGTTGATATTATTTGACAAATAAAGAAAATAATGTTTTAATGGAAGCCTTTTCTAATTAAAAAAAAAATGCAGAGATCTGACTACTGCCACTT